GTATGAGTTTGATGAGATTTCTTTTATAGATGATTAGACACTTCTCTCTTGCCACTTTTATGTTGACTTTGGATAGTCTGATGACTATATGTCTTTCTTAGATTATTCTTATAATACATATCCCAGGAATCATCTGAGATTTTTATATCTGGATGTTTAGGTCTGTAGCAAGACCAGGGAAGTTTTCCTGAGTTATTTATTCAAACAAGTTACCCACACTTTTTACTTTCTCTTCTTCTCCCCTTGTAATGGCTATAATTCATAGGTTTGGATGCTTTACATGATAACCTAGTTCTTGAAGGCTTTGTTAAGTTTTGCAATTTATTTTTCTGTATTTGTCTTACTGGGTTTACTTAAAAGACCTGTCTTCTAGCTCTTAAATGATTTATGCTGCTTGTTCAGCCTGTTGTTAAAGTTTTCAGAACTATTTTGCAGTTCCATCAAAATATTTTTCATTTTCAGAAGTTGTGTCTGTTTTTCTCAATAAAATCTGTATTTTCTTTTTTATGCTACATCATTTTCCTGGTGTGTTTATGATGGCTTTCAACTTTTGGATCTCAATCTTTACATAATCCTGTATTTCTTAAAGGCCTTATTTCTTGGAGGATTCTTTTAGAATTCTTTAGAATCAATATTTTGGATATTTTCTTTTTAGAGTTGGAGCCTCACTCTGTCACCAGGCTGGAGTGCAGTGGCATGATCTCGCTCCCTGCAACCTCCACCTCCTGGCTTCAAGCGATTCTCCTATCTCAGCCTCCTGAGTAGCTGGGACTACAGGTGCATATTCTTTATCGACTATATCAAAGATTTTATTTTGTTTAGAATCCACTGCTGGAGGTTACTGTGGTCCTTTGGAGAGGTTGTAACACTCTTTCTTCTTTATACTTCCAAAATTATTTATCTGATTCTTCCTCATTTAAATAAGCTCTCTCTCTCTTTTTTGAATTTATTTTGTTTTAACAGGATTTTTCTCCCTTTGAAAATGTGACTATAATGTGTGCTGCACAGAATGTGAAAGGCTATATTGAAGAGGATCAAGAAAAAATGCTAGAAAGGAAAGTGCAAACAGTCAGTATGAAAAGTTCTTTTCAGGAGAAGTGTTACAAGAAGAAGCAGAGAAAAAATGTGGTAGCTAGCATGATTGTGTCATCAAGAGTTCTGTTTATGTTCAGTGCTAGAAATAATACCATGCTTGCATACGAATGAGAATTAGCAGTACAGATGAAGGAAACTGACAATGCAGAAGAGAGGGAAAGTAATTATAGAGGAAGATGAAAAGAGGTGTTAACAAGGACACAGAGTTTTTCTTTGTAGAAGGGAAAATTGTCTATGTGGGTAAAAAGCCGGTAAATGTGTACCTGTAGTGATGAAGAATATTGAGACTTTTTTCTAATTGCTTCTACTTTTTCTGTTATAAAAAAGCAATGTAATCAGATGAGAAAGAAGAGAAAGAAAAGAAAGAGTGTTCATATAAGAAAATGTTACCTAGTAATCTTGAAGACTGGAGAAATATACTGACTGGGCCGATGGAGTAGTAAAATATTAGACAATTGCACTGGAGGTCTCCTGAATATTTTTGCTTATTTAAAGTGAGCCCAACCAGCATGTTTGAATTATTTCCTCCAGCCATGCAACACACTGTACATAGGTGCAGAGAAGGCAGAGGTTTGGATAAAAGCATTTTTGCTTGTCCAATACAGTAAAGGATGAGGTAGACAAAAATGTTCAAGATATATGCAAAGGATTGATTATAACAAAACATCATGATGAGAGAGGACGTGAAGAGGTGAAACTAGAGATGGCCTGTGAAGAGGTCAGAGGAGTCATAAGCCTAAAGAGCTGGGGCTGGGGTATATTGCAGCAGATGTATGAAAGGGAGTCATTTTAAACTTTGAGAGGTGGTTATGAGGAGTGGGATGCTCAAAATGGAGAGTTTAAAAAGTGGGTACTGATGAACTGATTGTGGGTGAAAGAAATATGACTTTCCAGAGAAAAGGCCAAGAAACTGGAAGAGCAGAGCATTGAGAGCATAGTCTATACGAATATTAAAATAACTAGGAAAAAGAGCAGAAATAATTTTGATGAAAACGACAGAGAACCTAGAATGAAAATTGTCAAGAAATGGTGAGAGTTGTGCTGTGCCAGTCTACAGCTAACTTCGACAAGGAGGTTAGAGAATAGCATATTAGGGTGGTGCACCTCTTCCTGGGATCTAGAGGTCTTTCAGAGGAGAGGACTTCCACATTTCAGGCCTGTTGATATGGGGGCAGTGGAAGGAAAACGATAGAGTTGCATGGAAAGAGTGTTAAGGAGAGTTAGACTTCATTTAGAACAAGAAAGTAAAAGAGCTAAAAAGAATGTAGGAAGTTGGCCAGGCACAGTGGCTCACGCCTGTAATTCTAACACTTTGGGAAGCCGAGGCGGGCGGATCAATTGAGGTCAGGAGTTCAAAACCAGCCTGGCCAACATGGTGAAACCCCATCTCTACTAAAAATACAAAAAAAAAAAAAAAAAATTAGCTGGGCATGGTGGTGGGCACCTGTAATCCCAGCTACTCAGGAGGCTGAGGTAGGAGAATTTCTTGAACCCAGGAGGTGGAGGTTGCAGCGAGCTGAGGTCATAGCACTGCACTCCAGCCTGGGCCACAGAGTGAGACTCTGTCTCAAAAAAAATTAAATAAATAAAAATAAACATTTTGCTGGTAATAAACAAGAGTTTCCATGGGCAAAATAAAAGGGTTTGGGTGATGGGAAAAGAGTAGAAAAGTGAGTTGGATTAAGGGATGTGTATTAAACCATGTGGAATGAGTCTTGGTACCCAGAGAAGATCTCAAAATCTTGGCATTCTGCTGGTGACAAGGGTGTGAGGCATGATGTAAGCTGATGACAAAGAAAACATCAATCTTAAATGACCCAAAGGAGGGTAATGTTTTAGAACTTAAAAACAAAATACATTTTAATGGCTCAGCCAGAAAAGATTTGGCTCCTTTAGGATTTAAATTAGAGTTTTTCTTCGATATTTTGCAAACAGGATGCACATCCTGCGCATGCACTCCAGAACTAAAAATAAAAATACTAAAATAAAATAAAAAGGAAGTGAAATAAGCCCCACATATTTTTTTTAAAATCATCAATAATTAAATGAAATGACACATTTAACTTCTTGGGGTGTTTTTTGTGATGCGTTCATCGCAGAAGATATCCATGAAAATCCAGAGCTGCTCAATATCATATATGAAGCAGGCATCACTCTACAGTGAAAAATATCTTTCATGATAACAGTGCATGGGTGTGTGCATGCAAGTGAGCATGTGAGTATGAGCATACAAGGAGTAGTGTGAGTGTGCATGCATGTAAATGTAGGAGTGTGTATGGTTGTTATTGTATATGTATGTTACTATATCACACATATCCATCATTTCCACAGAATTGAAGATTTCAGGCCCACTCCAGAAAATATTCACCCTATCTGCAAGTCCCCCAATTCTCCTGCATGCTACCCCTTTCCCTGGGTGAAAATACAAGTTGATAACAAATGTCAATTTGCCTTGTGCATGTAGTATACAAAGTGCAACTTCTGAAAATGAATTACAGTGAAAAATACATGTCAGGCAATTGTCAGAGAGCTCAACCAGGGGTGAAGTGCAATCTCTCCCTTCTCCAAACCTCCTTTGCGAAATCTGATATTTGAGAGTAACATCTTAATAGAAAAGCTAACCTCCCCTTCCTGCTGATTTTCTCCTGACCACCTCTTTATGAAATAAATTTCCTCCTTATCTAGCAGACACGGATTCATTGTCTTCAGTGTGGTGTTGTGTCCTCAACTGGGCTAGCAAAATACTGCTGTACTTGGTGAAAGCAGAGCCAAAACATACTTTCCATTTATTGTCTCTCCTAATATATAACTATCTTATATTTAACTTTTAATATATTATGTTTAATTTAACTTTTGCCTTTTAAAATTTTATAAATCCTGTTGAATTCTTTTCAGAATCTCAATAAATGAAAGCTGTTCTGTATAGATGTGATTATGTGTAAATGAAATTGAAGTTTAGAGTTCTAGCTCATTTTATTGGATTCTTATAACATGAGATAAGCATTATTATCTTCACTTAGCAAACAAAGAAACTAAGGCTAAGAGAAATTAAGTGACACACTTCTCCAAGTCACTTAGATGAGAAGAAGCATAATTTGTCTATTTACTCCCAAGAACGTTAACTAGCATAGTATCTCTCAGTAGGTGCTCAGTGAATGTTCGTTGATTGATGACAGCTACATAGCTCTCTGATAGAGTAACCATCCAAGAGTTCAAGAAAAAAAACACCTTTTTCATCAGTTAATTTATTATTTCAGTAAAACTGGGTGTTTTGAGCCACAGTCACCCTCCCTTTTTTTTTGAACACAAAAAAATGGAAATGGGGAAATGCAAGAGTGAGTTAGTTTCTAAGTGAGGATACAAGTATACTCTTTACCTTTAATATGACGGTTAAATACACAAGACACTAGAATACAGAAAAGTTTTTTGACCCATCTCGTTGTATTATATAATTTATGAATCTCATTAGTAAACTACTCGCTTAACACTGGTGATAGAAATAAGATGGCAAAAAGAGGACTGCTAAGAATTACTTTTGGATAAGGGTATATAACATTTTCATAAGAGCTACCTTAACTAAATAGTCCACGCAAAATCATATTCTTCATAAACACAAGTCCGTTCATCACTTTTTTACAGGATTTTCACAAGGAGCAAATATGAAAATTTTGTTAAACTGTCCTGAAATCATAAAGCATAGAATAAATAAGAAATAAAAATAATTATTACCACCCAGGTGTTTGCCTTTTAAAACAATTGAAAATATAACTATATTTAACATGAGCCATTCACTTAAGAGTTCTCATCCGACTATGAAGAAAAATGATACTGATAAATGTTTTGATATGAACTCAGTTTGATATTTTAATGATATGTATTGTTTCTTTGCTTTAATCATATTACAGGATTGTTCAACCTGAATTGAAAGCACTTGCAATCGGCTTCCATTCAATGATTTTGCGATCACTAGGTATGATAAATATACAGATGAGAAATTTAACATGTAAATATTCATGTTAAGGCTTAAAGACAATGTAATTAATTTTCAACTATGAGAATGTATAAAAAAGGAATAAGTAAGAATCATTTCCATTTTTGTGATAAATGAAAATAATAACAGGAAAATTGAGTGGTCTAGTAGAGAATTTGATTGTTAATTCTCGTTAAAGCCAATCTGTTAAGAGCAAGGAATCATCATATTTATATTATACTTCTTCTAACAGAAAGATAGGTAGTACCTGAAATTTTCCTTCATTTAGAAATATAAGAATATTTCTACCAGTTATAGGCAGAGTGGAGAGCCTTCCTTCTAAATGGAGACCTTATTTAGGAGAGACCTCAACTGGCTTAGGAGCCCTAGGAATCTGGTCAGGCTGAAGTTGTATAAAACAACAGGAGTTGTTAACATTAACTGTGTCACTTCCCACTACCTGGTCCTGTAAGGATGAGCAGCTAACCATTGGTAGGAATTAATGCAAAAGGGAATGAGAATTCAGACTCTAGAACTTGGCACCTTAGATGAAGAATGTGTTCTGAATAAAAGAAAGATCAGAAAAATGTGATTTATTATTGGCGAAGAGCAAGATTACAGACTCCAGAGGCTAAAGGCCTTTTAAAATTTTTTTTTAATTTATTTTTTGTTATTTCAGTAGGTTTTTGGGAAATAGGTGATGTTTGGTTACAAGAATAAATTCTCAGTGGTGATTTCTGAGATTTTGGTGCACCCATCACCCAAACAGTATGCACCATACCCAATGTGTAGTCATTTATCCATTAATACTTTCTCCTGAGTCCCCTAAGTCTATTGTATCATTCTTATGCTTTTGCATCCTCATAAAATATCTCCCAATTATAAATGTGAACATTTGATATTTGGTTTTCCATTCCTGAGTTACTTCATTTAGCATAGTAATGTGCAATTCCATCCAGGTTGCCGTGAATACCATTATTTCATTCATTTTTATGGCTGGGTAGCATTCCATGATATATATATACCACATTTCCTTTAGCCACTCATTGATTGATGGGCATTTGGGCTGGCTCCATATTCTTGCAATTGCAAATTGTGTTACTATAAACATGCATGTGCAAGTATCTTTTCCGTGTAATTACTTCTTTTTCTCTAGCTGTATACCTAGTATGGGATTGCTGGATCAGATGGTAGATCTACTTTTATTTCTTTAAGAAATCTCCACACTGTTTTCCATAGTGATTGTAGTAGTGTATGCTCCCTCAGTGTAAAAGTGTTCTCTTTTCACCATATCCACATCAACATTTATTATTTTTTAATTTTTTGATTATGGCCATTCTTGGAGGAGTGAGGTAGTATCGCGTTGCAGTTTTGATTTGCATTTCCCTGATAATTAGTGATGTTGAGCATTTTTTCATATGCTTGCTGGCCATTTGTGTATCTTCTTTTGAGAATTGTCTATGCATGTCCTTAGCCCATTTTTTGATGAGATTGTTTGGTTTTTGTCTTGCTGATTTGTTTGAATTGTTTGTAGGTTCAGAATGTTAGCACTTTGTCAGATGTATAGATTGTGAAGATTTTCTGCTACTCTGTGGATTGGCTATTAACTCTGCTGATTATTTCTTTTGCTGTGCAAAAGCTTTTAAGTTTAATTAAGTCCCACCTATCTTTGTTTTTGTTGTATTTGCTTTCGGGTTCTTGGTCATGAAGTCTTTGCCAAAGTCAATGTCTAGAATGGTTTTTCTGATGTTATCTTCTAGAACTTTTATGATTTTAGGTCTTGTATTTAAGTCTTTGATTCATCTTGAGTTGATTTTCATATAAGGTGAGAGATGAGGATCCAGTTTTGTTCCTCTACATGTGACCTGCCAATTATCCCAGCACAATTTGTTGACTGGGGTATTCTTTCTCCACTTTATATTTTTGTTTGCTTTATCAAAGATCAGTTGGCTGTAAGTATTTGGTTTTATATCTGGGTTCTGTATTTTGTTCTATTGGTCGATGTTCCTATTTTTATACCAGTACCATGCTGTTTTAGTGACCATGGCCTTATAGTATAGTTTGAAGCCAGGTAATGTGATGCCTCCAGATTTTTTTTTTTTTTGCTTAGCATTGTTTGGCTATGCAGGCTCTTACGTGGTTCCATGTGAATTTTGAGATTATTTTTTCTAGTTCTGTGAATAATGATGGCGGTATTTTGACAGGAATTACATTGCATTTGTAGGTTGCTTGCAGCAGTATGGTCATTTTCACAATATTGATTCTACCCAGTCATGAGCATGGGATGTGTTTCCATTTGTTTTTGTCATCTGTGATTTCTTTCAGCAGTGTTTTGTAGTTTTTCTTTTAGAGGTCTTTCACCTCCTTTGTTAAGTGTATTCCTAAGAATTATTTTATTTTTTTGCAGCTATTGTAAAAGGGGTTGAGTTCTTGATTTGATTCTCCACTTAGTCACTGTTGGTGTGTAGCAGAGCTACTGATTTGTATACATTGATTTTTGTATCCTGAAACTTCGCTGAATTCATTCACCAGCTCTAGGAGCTTTTTGGATGAGTCCTTAGGTCTTTCTGTGTTTACAATCATATCACCAGTGACAGTTTGGCTTCCTTTTTACCAATTTGGATGCCTTTGATTTTTTTTTCTCTTCTCTGATTGCTCTGGCTAGGACTTCTAGTACTATGTTTAATGGAAGTGGTGAAAGTAGGCATCCTTATCTTGTTTCAGTTTTCAGGGGGAATGCTTTCAACTTTTCCTCATTCAATAAAATGTTAGCTGTGGATTTGCCATAGATGGCTTTTGTTACCTTAAGGTGTGTCTCTTCCATGCCAATTTTACTGAGGGTTTTAATCATAAAATGATGCCTGATTTTGTCAAATGCTTTTTCTGCATCTATTGAGATGATCATGTGATTTTTGTTTTTAATTCTGTTTCGTGGTGTATCACATTTATTGACTGGTGGATGTTAAATCATCCCTACATCCCTGGTATGAAACCCACTTGATCATGGTGAATTATCTTTTTGATCTGCTATTAGATTGAGTTAGCTAGTATTTTGTTGAGGGTTTTTGCTTCTATGTTCATCAGGGATATTGGTCTGTAGTTTTCTTTTTTTGTTATATCCTTTCTTGGTTTGGATTTTAGGGTGATACTGGCTCTATAGAAAATTTAGGAGGAATACCTTCCTTCTCTATCCTGTGGAACAGTATCAATAGGATTGGTCACAATTCTTTGAATTCCTGATAGAATTCAGCTGCGAATCTGTCTGGTTCTGGACTTTTTTGTTGTTGTTGTTGGCAGTTTTAGATTACCATTTCAGTCTCACTGGTTTTTATTGGTCTGTTCAGAATTTCTATTTATTCCTGGTTTAAGGGTTGTTTATTTCCAGGAATTTATCCATCACCTTTAGATTTTCTAATTTACGCACTTAAAGGTGTTATAGTAGTCTCGAATAATCATTTGTATTTCTGTGGTATCAGTAGTAATATCTCCCATTTAGTTTCTAATTGAGCTTATTTTGATCTTCTCTCTTCTTGGTTAAGCTTGCTAATGGTCTATCAATTTCATTTATCATTTCAAAGAACCAGATTTTTGTTTCACTTATATTTTGTATTTTTTGTTGTTGTTGTTTCAATTTCACTTAATTCTGCCCTGATCTTTGTTATTTCTTTTCTTCAATTGACTTTGAGTTTGGATTGTTCTTGTTTCTCTAGTTCCATAAGATGTGACCTTCTGTTGTCTATTTGTGCTCTTTCAGACCTTTTGATATAGGCATTTAAAGCTATGAACTTTCCTCTTAGTACCTATTTTGCTGTATCCCAGAAGTTTTGATAAGTTTTGTCACTATTTTTATTCAGTTCAAAACTTTTTTAAATTTCCATTTTGATTTCATTGTTGACCCAACAATCATTTAGGAGATGGTTATATAATTTCCATGTATTTGCATGATTTTTGGTGTTCCTTTTTCTGTTAATTTCCAATTTTCTTTCACTGTGGTCTGAGAGAGTACTCGATATAATTTCCACTTTCTTAAATTCACTGAAACATGTTTTGTGGCCTATCATATGGTCTATCTTGGACAATGTTCCATGTGCTGATGAATAGAATGTATATTCTGCAGTCATTGGGCAGAATTTCGGTAAGTATCTGTTAAGCTCATTTTTTCTAGGATATAGTTTAAGTCTATTGTTTATTTGCTGACTTTCTATCTTGATGACCTGTCTAGCACTGTCAGTGGAGTATTAAAGTCCCCCACTATTATTGAGTTGCTGTCTATCTCATTTCTTAGATCTTGTAGTAATTTTTTATATATAAATTTGGGAGCTCCAGTGTTAGGTGCATATATATTTAAGATTGTGATATGTTCCTATAGGACTAGTTCTTTTATCATTATATAATGTGCCCCTTTGTATTTTTAAACTGCTGTTGCTTTAAAGTCTGTTTTGTCTAATATAAGAATAGCTACTCTTGCTCACTTCTAGTGCCCCTTTTTGTGGAATATCTATTTCCACTCCTTTATTTTAAGTTCATGTGAGTCTTTATGTGTTAGGTGAGTCTCTCCTGAAGACAGCAGAAACTTAGTTGGTGAATTCTTATCCATTCTGCCATTGTATATACTTTAAGTTGGGCATTTTGGTCAGTTACATTCAACCTTAGTATTGCGATGTGGGGTACTATTCTATTCATCGTGCTAGCTGCAAGAATACCTTGCGGGGTGTGTGTGTGTGTTTGTGTGTGTGTGTGTGTGTGAGATTGTTATACAGGTCCTGTGAGATTTATGCTTTAAGGAAGTTACATTTTGGTGTATCTTGAGGATTTGTTTCAAGATTTAAAGCTCTTTTAGCAGTTCTTGTAGTGCCAGCTTGTTAGTGGCAAATTCTCTCAGCATTTGTTTGTCTTGAAAAGACTGTATCTTTCCTTCATTTATGAAGCTTAGTTTTGCTGGAGACAAAATTCTTGCCTGATAACTTTCTTGTTTAAGGAGGCTAAAAATAGGAACTCAATCCCTCCCAGCTTGTAGAGTTTCTGCTGATAAATCTGCTGGAATTCTGATAGGTTTTCCTTTATATGTTACCTGATGCTGATATTTTTGCCTCACAGCTCTTACGATTCTTTCCTTCATCTTGATTTTAAATAACCTGATGAATATGTGCCTAGCTGATAATCTATTTGTGATGAATTTCCCAGGTGTTCTTTGAGCTTCTTGTATTTGGATGTCTAGATCTCTAGTAAGGCTGGGAAAGTTTTCCTTGATTATTCCCTTAAATCTGCTTTCCAGATTTTTAGATTTCTCTTCTTCCTTGGGAATACCAATTATTCTTAGGTTTGGATGCTTAACCTAGTCCCAAACTTCCTGGAGGCTTTGTTTATTTTTAAAAATTATTTTTTCTTGCTCTTTGATGAATTGATTTGATTTGAAAGCCTTGTCTTTGAGCTCTGAAAGTCTTTCTTCTGCTTGTTTGATTCTATTGCTAAGACTTTCCAGTGCATTTTACATTTCTCTAAGTGTGTCCTTGACTTCCAGAAGTTGTGATTGGTTTTGATTTATCTTATCTATTTCACTGAGAAATTTTCCTTTCATATCTTATATCATGTTTTTTATTTCCTTAAGTTGGACTTCACCTTTCTCTGGCACCTCATTGACTAGCTTAATAATGGACCTTCTGAATTATTTTCTTGGCAATTCAGAGATTTTGTCTTGGTTTAGACCCATTGCTAGTGAACTGGTGTGATCTTTTGAGGGTGTTAAAGAACTTTGTTTTGTCATATTATCAGAATTGTTTTTATCGTTATTGCTCGTTGTGTAGATTATGACAGAAGGAAGATCTGGGGCTCAAGGGCTGCTGTTCAGATTTTTTTGTTCCATAGGGTGCTCCTTTGATGTGGCATTCCCCTCATTGCCCTAGGGGTGGGGCTTCCTGATAGTTGAACTGCAGTGATTGTTTTTACTCTTCTGGGTCTAGCCACCCAGTGGAGCTACTGGGCTCTGGATTGGTACTGGGGAGTTTCTGCAAAGAGTCCTGTGATGCGATCCATCTTCAGGTCTTTCAGCCATGGATACCAGCATTTGCTCTGGCAGAGGTAGTAGGAGAGTGAAGTGGACTGTGTGAGGGTCCTTGGTTGTGTTTTCATTTAGTTCACTGGTTTTGTGTTGGTTGGCCTCCAGCCAGGAGGTGGTGCTTTCAAGATTACATCAGCTGCAGTACTATAGAGAGGAAGCAAACTTGCCCTAGGGTCATCCTGTTAAGTATTCAGGTTTCTCAGTTGGTGGGCAGGGCCTTAGAGCTGCTAAGAGATTATGTTCTTGTCATCAGTAACCAGGGCAGGTAGAGAAAAATCATTAGGTGGGGTCAGAGATAGGCATGTCTGAGCTCAAACTCTCCTTGGGTGGGGCTTGCTGTGGCTGCTGTGTGCGATGGGGGTGTTGTTCCCAGGCCAATGAAGTTATATTCCCAAGGGAATGATGGCTGCCTCTGCTAAGTCACACAGATCTCAAAGGAAGTGGCAGCGGGCCAGGAGCAGGTGCGGGGGAAATAGCAGTAACAGGCCTTACCCTGCTCCTATCTAGCATGCAGTCCTACAGGCTGGTCTCACTGCCACTGTGACCCCCAACAGCACTGAGTCTATTACCAGGTATTTGGTGACCAAGGCTGAGAACTTGGCCCTGACCTCCAGCCTCCGTGCTGAGAAAGGAAGCTGACTCAGTTTTTTTTGTCATCTAAGGGAGCCTGCAGCTGGTGATATAGTTTCTTCAAAGGTTTGTGGACTCTCTCAGCTTTCCCAGTATGTTGCTATGGTAATTCTTGGAGAAAAAGTTCACAATGTGAGTCCACATGCTGCTCTGTTTGTCTAAGTGGGAGCTGCAAGCTAGTCCTGCCTCCTATCTGCCACCTTTTAGAGGTCTATATTTTAAATATTCAAAGTTGATTAGAAAAGATTTAGAAAATTGCCCTTTCTCCCTTTTTACCATTTGCCTTTTTTACTGCACAGATTCCTGTTGTTAAACAATGTCTAGCCTCACCCCCATGAGTGTTCTTTCGTAAGAACTGTAAATCTTATATGCCTATTCCTGGGAAGTAGGAAAAGGCCATCATTCATCTAGGGATTGGTGCAGACGACTGATTATGACCCATAGGTAACCACTGATGGCAAAAAGAAAAGGAAGTGGGAGGATTCAGTTTCTGGGACCCATGCAAGCAAAGGAAAAAGTATGGCCAAATTACAATTGAGTTGTCATGAAGTGTATTTGGTGAGAAGGTCACAGATCCTGAAAGGTAAAAAGAGATGCAAAGGGAATAGGGGAGAGAAGATGGGAGATGCTGCAGGGTTACATCAGTTCTCTTCCCAGTATTCCCTTTCTGTGTCCCTGATCTTCCAGTCTCTGTAATCTTGGCAGTTCTCTACCTTCAGATTCAGAGAAGATATCTCACTCTTTGAACTTGGAACACAGAGGCTGAAAATAGTTCTGGGTAGTTAGTATCTCTTCTGATATGTTGAAATGAGACTATGAAAATAGAAATTATTTTAGCAACATAAAATAGAAAAAAATGAATCTGGCCATCCTAATTGTGAGCATCCAATTTCAGTGTGTCCGCTATATGCCACAATGAAGCTCAAATACCTCTATGGGAAAAATCCACACTTAGTATCAAACTTACAATTCACAGTCATCTTAAATATGATATGTGTGTAAATTGTGGAAGGCCTATTATAATATATAGTGTATTAAACTGAAAAAGGTATTTAGAAAATAGGTCATCAGAGGTTTTTAATTCCAGTAATTAAGTCCTAGTTTGTTAGTTAACACATTTAGTTCACAGACTTTGTTCAAACCAGTGGCATAATGTGAAGAAAATTAATTATTGGCATTTATTTTTCATTTTTCAAAGATGCTTCTGAGTTTTTGGAATCTGCAAATTTCTCACCCATTTTGTCAGTACTAGATTGCCTCAGATACATTGGCCTCAGGCACCATTCCCTTGTGATTCTACTATTTCTTACTCTCAGAAAATTGAGAATGATTAAAAATAAGCAGAATCAGTAAACTGTCTTCTATAAATCATTGTCATGTTTTGTGACAAAATAAAATCTGAAAAGTATGAATCACACAAAAAAAAAACAAGAACAAAGTAAAATCTTGTATGTTTCAGTTCTAACATCTGAAGGATAGCTCCGTACTATGATGTCCTTCAGAATTTTGACCAAATTACCTATGCTTAAAACTAGGAGTTAGTCTCAGAATGTATACTTCTCATATAAACAATTGTATTCCTGGAATGCTGTACCTTCCGTGAAATCATGCACTACAAATAAAAATTGCCTTAGGGACTGACCATTGAAATCTATGCACTATTGTGGTAAGACCACTAACAGAAGCAAAATTTAGCAGCAACCCTAACCTGTACAGCCTAGGCTGCTTTAGGAGATAAGAAAAACATTAAATCAATGGACAGAAAATGCTGAATTGTGGGCTATAAGAGCACCAAGTAGGAGGAAATGGTACTCTGAGCCCAGAAAGAAGTAAAACTGGCCAGCAGCTGAGCACTCTTTGAAGCTGGGCCTGAACGTCTCTGGGAAGGGAATCCTGATGTAAGCATTCACTTTTTAATTTTCTTGAAATAATATTAAAAATCTTTACTTTGCAGCAGTTGAGGTGAGAGCTTTTTCCTTTTCCCATAAAGTTATAATTTTATTCCCAATAATCCAGTCTTTCTTGCCTAAGAAAAATTTTATATGAATCAACATGATTTTCATGTTTTACTAATAACATTCCCCTTTTACTAATCAGGTTTAAGTTAATCAATGTTATAGGAAGAACAGAGTATATAGGTATATAATCCTTCTTCCCTATGAATATAGGGAGAGAAGAGTAGATCAAGAGTAGATCGGGTATGTCTATGACATTACCATATGCTTTAAGCCTTTGAGATTCCTAATAATTTTGATTTCTGGGTGGATGTAGGCCAAAATAATGGCATAATTTTCCAAATTTTAAACTTTTTTAAACTCAAAATGTATCAATGTAGAATATCACCCAGTTACATTTGAAGCATTTCACTTGGATTGATATCTTCTTATCTCATGTTGTAGGAGGTATTCTAGTTCCAATATATTTTGGGGCTCTGATTGATACAACGTGTATGAAGTGGTCCACCAACAGCTGTGGAGCACGAGGGGCTTGTAGGATATATAATTCCACATCTTTGGGGTAAGTAGTCATAAATACATTTTATTAATAGATTTTTTCTTTGACTATGTTAATTTCTAAAGTCTATCATTTTTAGTGTGATTATAATATTAATAATGATAGCTACCATATAGTGAACACTTGCTTTGTATTTATTATTGTGTCAGGCATTCTGGTATCTCATTTCAATAATCATAGAAACTATAGAAAATTGTTATTCTCTCCTTCTTCTTTAAATATGAAGAAAACAAGTTTCAAGAATAATGAATAACTTGTCCAAAATAGCACAACTAAAAGAAATACAGCTAGATTTGCATTTTAATCTCTTTTTATTATAAAATTCTCCTCCTCTGGCTTCTCTAGGAAGATATAGAATGACCAGCTGGGCTTCTGGTTATATGGTCATTGAGGAAAATATGAGAAAAATATGTTTCAATACTCTTCATAGGCAAAGGTATTCTCTTAGTGACTTTAAGATAACTGGGTGATCATCTGGAAGAAAAGAAACTACTACAATCGTACCTTACCTATTATAGAAACACTAATTTGAAATTTATATATTGACCAAATACACAAATTTTACATGTGAAACTATAAGTATTACAACTACTCATATAGGATTCCTTTTAATTATCTAGGAAGAAAAAAAATGTGTTTCTAAGTGTATTAGTCAATTCTCACACTGCTAATAAAGACATAGCCAAGACTGGGTAATTTATAAAGGAAAGAGGTTTAATTGACTCACAGTTTTTCAGGTCTGGGGAGGCCTCAGGAAACTTACAATTATAGCAGAAAGGGAAGCCAACACATCTTTCTTTACATGGCAGCAGCAAGGAGAAGTGCAGAGTGAAGGAAGGGAAGAGCCCCTTTTAAAACCATCAGAACTCATGAGAACTCATTCACTTTCATGAGAAGAGCATGGATGTAACTATATCCATGATACAGTTACCTCCCACTGGGTCCCTGCCATGACACATGGGGATTATGGGAACTACAGTTCAAGATGAGATTTGGGTGGGGACACAGCCAAACCATATCATTCCATCCCTGGCCCCTCTCAAATCTTATGTCCTCACATTTTAAAACAATTATGCCTTCCCACCAGGCCCCCAAAGTCTTAACTCATTTCAGCATTAACTGAAAATTCCAAGTCCAAAGTCTCATCTGAGACAAAGTAAGTACCTTCTGCCTATGAGCTGGTAAAATCAAAGCAAGTAAGTTGCTTCCTAGGTACAATGGGGAGTACAGGCATTGGGGTAATACACCCATTCCAAATGGGAGGAGTTGGCCAGAACAAAGGGGCTACAGACCCCATGCAAGCCTGAAATCTAATAGGGCAGTCATTAAACCTTACTGTTCCAAAATGACCTCCTTTGGCTCCACGTCTCACTCCCAGGTCACACAGATGCAAGAGGTGGGCTCCCATGGCCTTGGACAGCTCTACCACTGTGGCTTTGCAGGGTACAGCTTCCCTTCAGGTGACTTTTATGGGCTGGCATTGTGTCTGCAGCTTTATCAGGCACGCAAAGCAAAGTGTTGGTGGGTCTACCATTCTGGGGTATAGAGGATGATTGGCATCTTCTAACAGCCACACTAGGCAGTGCCCCAGTGGGGACTCTGTGTGGGGGTTCCAACCCCACATTTCCCTTCCACACTGTCCTAGCAGAGATTCTGCATAAGGGCCCCATCCCTGCAGCAAGCTTCTGCCTAGAAATCCAGGCAGTTCCATACATGTTCTGCAATCTAGGTGGAGGTTCCCAAACCTCTATTCTTGACTTCTGTGCATCTACAGGTTCAACACCACACAGAAGCTGTCAAGGCTTGGGGTTTGCAACCTCTAAAGCCATGGCCCAAGCTGTACCATGGCCTCTTTTAAAAATGGCTGGAGTGGCTGGGACTTCTAGGCTACACACAGCAGCAGTCCCTGGGTCCAGCCCACAAAATCAGTACTTCCTCTTAGGCCTCCTGGCTTGTGATGGAGGGGCTACCGCAAAGTTCTCTGACAAGCCCTGGAGACATTTTCCCCATTATCTTGGTAATTAACATTAGGCTTCCCATTACTTAGGTAAATTTCTGCAGCTGGCTTGAATTTCTCCCCGGAATATGGATTTCTTTTCTGCTGCATCATCAGGCTACAAATTTTTCAAACTTTTATGTTCTGCTTCTTCTTGAACACTTTGCCGCTTAGAAATATCTTCCACCAGATACCCTAAATTATCTTTCTCAAGTTCAAAGTTCCACAGATCTCTAGGGTAGGGGCAAAAAGTCACCCAACTCTTTGCATAGCAACAGTAAGCTTTACTCCAGATCCCAACAAGTTCCTCATCTCCATCTAAGACCATGTCAGCGTGGACTTTATCATTCATATCACTATCAGCATTTTGTTCAAAGCTATTCAACAAGACTCTTGGAAGCTTCAGTTTCCCACATCTTCCTGTTTTCTGAGCCCTTCAAGTCTCTAGGAAGTTCCAAAGTTTCCAACAATTGCTGTCTTCTTCTGAGCCCTCCAAACAAGACCAACCTCTGCCTGTTACCAAATTCCAAAGTTGCTTCCCCATTTTGGGGTATCTTTACAGCAGTGGCCCCTTACTTGGTACCTATTTACTGTAGTAGTCCATTCTCATACTGTTAATAAGGACATACTCAAGATTGGGTAATTTATAAAGGAAAGAGGTTTAACTGACTCGCAGTTCTAGATGGCTGGAGAGGCCTTCGGAAACTTAAAGTCACAGCAGAAGGGGAAGCAAACACATGCTTCTTCACATGGCAGCAGCAAGAAGAAGTGCCAAGCAAAGAGGGAGAAAAGCACTTTATAAAACCATCAGATATCGTGAGAACTCACTCACTGTGAGAACAGTATGGAGGTAACCATCCTCATAATTCAATTACCTCTCACTGGGTCGCTTCCACGACCTTTGGGGATGATAGGAACTATAGTTCAAGATGAGATTTGGATGGGGACACAACGAAACTATAACACTAAGTATTACCCAAATGCCCCAAATGATAGTTTAAAAACAAATGGTGGAAGGATTTTTATTGCTTTGGGTTTATACCCACTAATACAATTAATGGGCTGAATGGTCATTTTGTTTTACATTATCTGATAAATCACCAGACTACTGTCTACAATGGCAGAACTAATTTACAATTCCACCAGTAACATATAAGTGTTCCCTTTTCTTCACCACCTTGTCAGTATCTGTTATTTTTTTTCTTGTTAACAATAGCCATTCTAACCAGTGTGAGATGGTAACTCATTGCAGTTTTGATTTGTATTTCTCTAATAATTAGTGATTTTGAATAGTATGGAACAGAAAATCAAATACCACATGTTCTCCCTTTTAAGTGGGAGCTAAACATTGAGTACATATGGACACAAGGAAGGGAACAAGAGACACTGGAGTCTATTTGTGGATGGAGGGTGAGAGGAGGATGAAGATACAAAGCTATAAGTGACTATGATTATTACCTGAGTGACAATGAGTCTATACACCAAACCTGCACATGCAATTTACCTATATAACAAACCTGCACATGTACCCCTGAACCTAATATAAATGTTAAAACAAAGAAGATAAAAAAAGGAACAAATAATAAAATATTTTAAAAAGTACATCACCAAACTTATTTTAAGTGAAGTTCAAAAACAAAAGATAAATTGGAAGAATTTCTAAGTCAGACACAGACACAGGCAAATGTCTGATGTACATAAAAAGCTCTCAGAAATTAACAAAAACACCACCAAATACTGGCAAGAAAGAGATAACAGGAATTTTCTTTCATTGCTGGTAGTAATGTAAACTGGTACAGCTATGTTGGAAGACAGAGTTAAAGTTTTTTACAAAGGAAAAGATAGATTTATTGTATGATTAAGCAATCATGCTCCGAGATATTTACCTAAATTAATTTGAAACATGCTCACAAAAAAACCCTGCATTCGAATGCAAAAAAGTGGAAGCATTTAAGATGTCCTTAATAGGTAAACAAATAACTGAACTGTAGTACATTCATACAATGGAATATCAGTCATCAATGTATTAGTCCATTCTCAGGATGCTATAAAGAACTATATGAAACTAGGTAATTTATGAAGAAAATAGGATAAATTCACTCACAGTTCAACAAGCTTTAGAGGAAGCATAACTGGGAGGCCTCAGGAAACTTACAATCATGGCAGAAGGCAAAGGGGAAACAAAGCATATCTTCTCATGGCAACAGGAGAGAGAGAGAAAGCGCACAAAGGTTTAAGTACCATGCACTTCTAAACCATCAGATCTTATAACTCACTATCTTGAGACCAGAAAGGGGGAAATCCACCCTCATAAACCAATCATCCCCCACCAGGTCCCTCCTCCAATTTGACATGAGATTTGGGCAGAGACACAAATCCAAACCACATCAACCAATTAAAAAAATGAGCTATCAATCTACAAAAAGAAAGAAAGGAAATTAAAATGTGTAAATAAAAGAAGGCAGCCTACAACAGCTTCAGATTGTATAATTTTAACTGTATAACTTTGTAGAAAAGGCAAAACAATGGACAATGAAAAGATCAGTTGTTTCTTGGGGCTCAGTGGGGAGAAGGGATTGATGAATAGGTCTAACACAAGACATTTTTTAGGCCAATGAAACTATTCTATATGATATAATAATGTTGGATCATAATATTATGCATTTGCCAAACCTTTGGAAATTTACAACATAAAAAGTGAACTCTAATGTAAAATATGGACTTAATAATGTATGAGTATTCTTTCATCATTTGGAACAAATATGCTGTACTAATACAAGGGGTTAATAATAGGAGAAACTACTATGCAGCCATAAAAAAGGATGAGTTTGTGTCCTTTGTAGGGACATGGATGCAGCTGGAAACCATCATTCTTAGCAAACTATCACAAGAACAGAAAACCAAACACCGCATGTTCTCACTCATAGGTGGGAACTGAACAATGAGATCACTTGGACTCGGGAAGGGGAACATCACACACCGGGGCCTATCATGGGGAGGTGGGAGG